ATCTCATGGCAAAAATATGATAAACACTGTGATAAAGTTAAAAAATATATACTCTTGATTTCAGGGATAAGGCAAAAAAAAAGCCATTTATAAATAATAATTGTGACAATAGGGATAAAAAGTCTTTTTCCTGATATCTTGCTTTAAAATATGCACAACACTAGGGATACTAGGTAAATCAAAGCCAGCAAAATATTCAAAAGTTTTACAACAAACATTAGAATAGGCAAAAAAGAACTGTGAAATTTGACAAGTACACAATGATTTTAAATATTGGCACATCGCTAAATCCTAAGTTCTACAGCTATTGCCTGAGAGTCCCAACTGAAAATAACATCTTTCTTAACAGTTAAAGGTAATGTAAGATCTGCAAGTGAGATGAAGTACTTGTAAGTAGCCCACTTGTGAGTCACCTGTCCTTAAGTGCTGACAACCATGCTCAAAATTGTACTGATGATTACCTGGATGGTTGAAAGGGTAGGTAGGTGAGCATCAGCCATGTAAGCTACATACCACTCATTCTGTGATCATCTAATGCTGTAAGAAACCTCAGATGGCCATTTTGTCGTAGTCCTAAAAAATCCCATGCTCCTCAGAAAGCTCATTGAAAGCTCCTAGACCTCAGGTGGAGCTGGGAAGCTAGGATGTACGACCTGAACAGCTGCAGAGATGTATCACATTGCTTAAGAAAAGCTAACATGTTGCAGTGGAAGAGGAGCCTTCAGCTTAGAGAAAACAAAGGCCTGTGATGGTTCCTGCATTAGTAAACAAAGTGCCAGCTCTTTCTCTGTTACTGTTTGGAAGCCAGTGACACAGATGCATAAAATCCAGCATTAGGCAGTTGTTTCAGGCATTCACATTGCAATTAGATCTGGTTTTCTACATGTGCTGTCAAAAGAGGGTGGCAACACCTTGTGGGCATGTAAAGGAAGGTACCTCAAAGGTAAAATATTTCCCTTACTTTCTTTTGGGTTGTTTCATAAAGGCTATTGAGATCTCATTGACCCCTGAGATCCTATTATGCTAGTTCAATAAAAGAATCCCCAGAAAGAACCTCTTAGAACCTCCTTTGGGAAACCGCAGAAAGATTCCCAAGGACTGGGAATATGTTCAGAACTAAACATTATCTCCTTCCTACTGTAACTTCATATCCATTTTTTTCTAGCATGTGTGGACTCATTTGAAGAGACAACTTCCCAGCAACTTGTAGCTGCTTACTTTGAGGCTGCAGTGGAACACAAGAATGTGAAAGGTTTGATAGAGGAAGAAGCAAGAGGTGCAAATTCATAGCCAAACCTAATAATTGTAGACATTTCTAAGAAACACTAATAAAGGAAAAATAAAGAAATATCAGAGAAAAGAGTGTGCTTATTTGTGTTGTCCTTTACCCTCAGATTTAGATTCAAGGTTTAACTTCAAGCTGATCTGATCATCGTTAAATATTATGTGCCTCACATTGAATTCTATTTTTGTGGGCCTGTCACACCGGAGCAGAAATAAACACTATTTATAATAAGGTGAACCTTGAAATATCTTCAAATGAAAGTGTTCCAATTTCCAGGAAAGAAGACAGCTATTGTAAAAGCAGATTAGAAATTATTTTCTGCAAAATGAAACAGAACAAACCTAATCCAGACCTCTGCTTCAATAATCAGTTCTGTATGTATATATTCTCTAGCAAACATCAGTTCATTGAATATAATACAACATTTCTTTGGAGCACTGTTCTGTTCACTCCAGCTTTTTGATCACTTCATGGTCAAGGGCAACAGAAAATAGATTCACTGTAATTAATCGTTCTAGGAGAAAACATTGAATATATTGGATGTAAAAGCATTTAAACTGCAGTTTCTCACAACAACACTCACCTTGTTTCTGAAAGCAAATCAGCCTTCACGAGAAGCTGTGGGCAAATTCTGGGCCATTCAGCAGTGGGGCCTCATAACATAAGAGATGCAACCAGAAATGTAAGATCAGTGCAAGCAGCTCTACAGATACAGACTATCTATTCCCACATGGAGCTCATTAGTGCACATGCTGAAATCTGCTTGCTCAATATTGATTTTAGTTCTAAAATGTGACTTGACAAGAGATATGAAATGAATAGAGAAGGCAGAAGAAGAAAAACACCACAATCTCTAGCTCAGAGTATGTCAGAGGTGATGAAACTCTGGAATTTATGTTCTATGTGGCCATTTAATTCTTTGCTATTCTCTTTTGGCAGAAATTGAAATAAAATGTCAAAATCTCCCATGCAGAGAAATTTCTGGAAAAGATATACCTCAGAAATGCTGGATATGATCTGGATTTTCATTTCAATAAAGCCAAAAGAAGCTTCTTACTGGAGTTTTCCATGATAAAACCTAATGAAAGTTGTTGGAAATATCCAAATAATGTTGTCAGGACAGTATCTCTGATAAATGCAGATTTTATTCACGATTGCAATGGTGGGCATCCCACAAGCAGAAGCACATCTATGGACACAATGACAGCTTTTGTACCTTGTTTCCCTCCTTGCCTCCCCCGCTCCCCTGTTTCCCCATTGGCCGTGTACTCCAGGCTCACAATCTTATCAAAGGTTTGTATTTGTTAATTTGTGTGTAATCTGGTGTCAGTCAGTAGCCATCCTGTTGTTTCCAAGACATCACAGTACTCTTCCTATCGTATTGTTACAGTGATCTTCTCCAAAGTCCTTGTTAAACAAAGAGTACTGGGTTTTAATGTAATAATATACACATATTGAGATTCTAAAAGTTTTCAAAAATTATCTCCTAAATTTCAAGGAGCGATAAGAGCTATAAAAGTATTTTTAGAAGTGTTTACTAATGTCCACAGAATAATTTATCTTCCTCTCTTTGCGGTTAGCTTTCCTTGATGTTCAGATTAGTTTTTTTCTCTGAAAGCATTGCATGACAGAAGCCACTGCTTTCCCTTCAGTCCCACAGAGCCCCTCAGCACAGCTCATCAAGGCAGCCAGAGGACACGACAGTTCAAGCAGCAATTTTTAGGCTCAACTATGGGACTCTGCACATCCTCTGGGAACATTTACTGAGATCGTCAGTGGACTCCTGGGAGCCCACTGAGAAACACCACAGTGTCTGCTGCTGGGAAAAGTTGGCTGTGACTGCTCACATGTTTTCAAAGCTGGGGGAGGCCTACAGCTCGCAGAGCTTTGGAGTAACGCATGCTCAGGAGTACCGAACCATCAAGGGAGGGATCTCCAGTGTCTCTGCTTATTGATTTGGGAAACCAAGACTTCCACAGTGGTACACTCTGGGATCTGGTAACCTCCTGCTCCCGCTCCATCTGCAGCTACAGAGGAGATTCACTGCCATGGAAGATGAGGCTTCCAAGGCTCATCCAGTTGTTGCTCTGTGATCCTCCGCTGCTTTTCCACATCAGCACCAATTCTGTGGCCAGCAGGAACCTGAATAGTGTCACATATTACAACATGGTTCTTAGGTAGTGGTCAGTGATGTGGGAGCCTAGCTGGCATCTTACGAATCCTGTTGGTAGGAAGAATGTGAGGAGAAAGGTTGTAAGCAAAAAGGACATGAGGCTGAAGAGATGGATCATGCAGGTCAACAAGCAATTATACAGTAGGAGCTACCAATTAGTGATTTGTTTTTTTTCTGACCATAAGATCCTCTCTGAAGGCTGAAAACTGCTGTTAAGAGATTGACACAACTGACTATATGGAACAAAGACATCATTTCCAACACTTGTGGAAAGGAATCTATTCTAAGCATGTGCAAATAAAGAAGTTATGAGGAAAAAGATGATCTTAGCAGTGAGTATAAATATCTGACAGCAGGAGTAAGAAACATAGGCCAGTTTCTTCTCAGTGGTATCACGTGATGTGACAAGAGGAAACGGTAACAAACTGATATACAAGAAAATCCACTGAAATAAAGGAATAAGCTTTCGTACCATGAGAATGGTCATATTCTAGAAAAGGTTGTACAGAGAAGCTCTGAAGCATTCCTCCTTGGGGATATTCAAAGCCCATTTGGACACACTCTGTGCAGCCTTCTCTGTGTGACTTCCATGGACACTGTAGGTGATCACCAGACATACTTTCAAAACTGAGACACTTTATATATCAGAAGAATCCATTTTTTGTTTATAATAATGCTTTTGTTATAGCAATATTAATGCTTGATAAGAAAGAAACTACATACACTGTCAAATCCTTTCTCAGTCAACTTATTTCAGTCAAATTTCTATTACTCCTCTCTGTAACAATGCTGTCTCCTACTGTTTGTTATCTCCATCAGTTTACTAGCAGACAAAATGAATTTGATTGTTAGGAATTACAGAACATTAAATGAGATGAAAATAGAGTTCAAAGTGAATAAAATAAAAAAAATAAATAAAATAAAATAAAATAAAAGTATAGCTCTATAATTATGAATGACTTGAAAAATAGAAGAAAAAAAAATAGGAAACTTCATAAGAAGTCAGTATGAATAACATCAAAATATATATATGATATTGCCATAAGACTGAAAGCAAATCAGGGAAATTCTAAGATCATTACATCATACATAGTAGAATAGTGTTGCCAGCAGGTGGAAGGAGGCCAACCTTCCTCCCCGCTTCATGGCCAGCTGCACGCCCCTCTGTGCACGGCCTGCAACAGCCGCCATCTTGCTTGGGTGCCCAGGGCCCACGCCCTCAGCCCTCTGTGAGGTAGCGACTGCCTCACCACGGGTGTCACGGAGCAGCCATTGTGACCTAGGGGGCCAGGACCGGGTCAGGCCAGGCCAGGCTCAGACCGTGGGTCAGTGCGACCTGGTGAGGTGAGGAGAGGAGAGGGCAGGGAGCGAGGGGCTGCCTGAGGAGGCTGCTCAGTGAGGAGGGCTCCCCTCGCCTGGGGGCCTGAGCTGCCAACTCACTCTCGTCCTGCTTCTCCCGCAGAGTCGGCAGAGGAGAGTGTGGAAGACAAAGCTCAGCGCTGACTGGGCAGGGACTCCGAGCGCTCACTGTCGACGCGTGCCATGTCCAAAAGGAAGCAGAAGACCTCCAACCCGGAGGTTGAAGGTGAGAGCAAAGGATCTCTGCGTGCAGCTCCCTGCCGGGCAGAGGGGCACTGCGGGCTCTGCCTACTGTGTGCGAGAGGGGAGGCGGGGGCAGGCAGGGGCTCCCCACGCACCGCTGGGCATGGCCCCTCTGCCCCTCAGCCGGGTTGGCCTGTGCGTGCCTGCTGGGACCGTTGGGCCTACAGCGGCCCTTTCCCCCTCGCGTCGTCCAGCCCTGCCCCTCATCCTGCATGGCAGACCCAGGGCAGGCCCCTGGCAACAGGCCTCAGGGACGCTTGGCACTCACTCCTGCTTCTCTTTGCTCTCTCCTCTTCAGTATGCATGCTGTGTCGCCGAGCAGATGTTCACCCGGACGCCTGCGGGCCCATGCTTGGCGAGAGCGGGCTTTGCGTCCACAAGTTTTGCTTGGTGAGTTCCCTCAGGGCTCCTTCCGCCCTCCAGCCAGGGATGCTCCCTCTTTTCCATCCTGTCCTCATGACATCCTGCTCTTTTCTCTGCTACAGTTTTTTGCCGACGGCCTTTACGAACACACTGCCGGACAGAGGGCGGTTCTGAAGATCCCCCTTGATGCCATCAGATGCGCAATCGAGGAGGCAGAGCAGAAGGTGAGGATCTCAAGGAACGGGGATGTTTGTGCCAGCACCAGCTAAGCCTGGAGCCTAAGCAAGCAATGGCACTCTTTCCACCTAGCACCAGGACACAGTTCTTGATTAAACGAAGATCAAACTTGTCTGCTGGCGCGTCTGCAGAGCGTGAGCCAGCAATGCCTGCATTCTGTGCCCTGCCTGGAGGCGTGGTGTTGGCCTCAGAGGCCATGAGCCTGCTGCTAATGGGGGCTACTCTTCTTTTTCCAGCACTGCTTCGTTTGTGGAGACAAGGGGGCCTCCATCTACTGCGCAGAGACAGGCTGTGAACGCAGCTTTCATCTGCCCTGTGCCACGGATGGGGAATGTGTCACGCAGTTCTTTGGGCAGCACAGGTAAGGGCTGTCAGCAGCAGCCAACCAAGGGAGGAACCTGCACGGCTGCTTCCCAGTGCTGAAGCATGCAGCAAACTCCTTTGTGTTCCTCTGCTGACATCGCAGCACTTCTCGGCTCACCCATCCTGTCCATCTTCCCCCAGGTCCTTCTGCTATGAGCACCGCCCTCAGCAGGCCATGGAGGCAGCTCCAGAGCAAGACACAAACTGCGTCATCTGCCTGGAGCCCGTGGGGGACAAAAAGTCCTACCACACCATGGTGTGCCCCGTGTGCACACAGGCCTGGTTTCACCGGAGCTGCATCCAGGTAGGAGCCCTCCCTGCCCTTGCTCTGCAGTCACAGCAGGTGCTCAGCTGCACCAGGCCCCGCTCACACTCTGACTGCTTGTGTTACCGCTGCAGGCACAGGCCATGAGTGCTGGCATTCTGCGCTTCCGATGTCCCGTCTGCAAAGACAGGATGCAATTCCGGAAAGAAATGCATCTCCTCGGGATCCAAATCCCAGCCAGGTTGGTGCCTTCTGCCCAGCTCTCCAGATACTGAGGCGCAAGTGCTGTGCCTGCCCAGGGATTGTCCCCAGCACGCCCAGCTGACCCTCTGCTGTCCCATGAGCCTTGGCCGCAGCTTCATGGAGAAGCTGGGAATGGGCTTGCACTGGAAGAGCAGGGATGTCCCAGATCCGCTCTATGCATGGGGTCCTGAGGACTCATCGCTTTCTCTCCTTTCTCTGGCAGAAGACCAACATGGGAGGACAAGGAGAGCTATGAAACTCTGCACAAGATACATGACCGCTGTGATGCCAGCGAGTGCCTTTACGCAGAAGGCAGGGAGCGAGAAGAGGGAGATGGGTGAGTTATCACAGCAGCCTTGAGTGGGATCTCAGCTGCCCCCCAGGCTGGGGAGCAAGGACTGAGCTCAAGAGCTGCTCCCGCCACTCCCTCATTTTGTGCACACATTTGTCCCTCATTTTGTGCACACAACTACAACCTCTTTTTTTTTTTTCCCCAGGCCCTGGGAGCTGCTCCTGTGCACCTCGTGTGCTGCGCAAGGCACCCACCGGCTCTGCTCCGATTTGAGCAACAGCCTGAGCAGCTGGGAGTGTGACAGCTGTGCTGGCGTGGGCACAGGTAAGAGGCAAAGAGCCGTGGACTGCTGCCTTGGGGCCAGGCAAGGCCTGGCACAGTGGCTCCTCTGTGAGTTTCTCTGCCCCGGGAGGGCTGGGTTCCTCTCCCTCCACGGGGCTGCCGGGTCATCCTGTTGACCTTCCTGCCTCTCCTTACAGCCTCCAGTGCCGAGTTGCAGCTTGCTGATCCCAGCACTGCCAGCCAGGAGGCGCCGGGGCCATCTCACAGCTCCCCAGCACCTGATGACCGCAGATCTGCCTCCACCAGCCAGGCAGCATCGGAGTCATCTCCGAGTTCCCAGCTGCCTAAGCGCAGCAGCCTGTCCAGCCAGCCCGAGACAGGACAGAGGAAAAGCCCGCGACGTAAATCCAACCAAGAAGAACAAGGGAGCAGCCAGCAGGAAGAGGGGTACTCCGGCAGAAGGCAATCCAGGCAGCAGGGCACAGGCTGGACAAGAAGCCGCTCTCCACTCAAGGGTCGTGCTTCAAATTCCCCCAGCCAGCTCAGAAGACCACCTGGCAGCAGACGCTCTCCAGCCTCAGGCGCTGGGAGGAGCATACACTTCTCTGCCAGGCAGGGGGCATCCAACAATTCCCCGAGGGCTGCCAACATCAAATGCCCAAGACAGAAACAAAACCAGTCCTCCCTACAAGGACCGGCATCAAGTCCCTCGAGCCAGCCCCAAGGACGCCGTGGCAGCAGAATTAGCCCGGCTCAAGGTGCTGGGAGCAGCACCCAGAGCTCTGCTGGACCGGTGGCGTCGAGGTCCTCCAGGGATTCCCAGCTGCCTGAACGCAGAAGACGTTCCAGTGTTCTGCAGCGAGGGCAGAACCAAGATCGAAGCCGTTCCCCACGGGATCGTCGGCCTTCCAATTCCCAAAGACAGTCGGGAGGAAACCTCAGCCCCCGTTCCAGGCAGAGGCGGCCATCTCAGGCACGACGCCACTCCCGGGACCAGCCCTGAAGACACTGCAGGAGTAGCCATGGACCAGAGCCACGTGCCAGCTCCTGTCCCCAGCAGCCAACCCAACAGAGTTGTCACAGAGTTCTCTCTAGGTCTGTGTCCGTGACAGGGGGCAGCAGGCCTGGGAAAAAAAGACAAAAAGAAAGAGGGAAGAAAAAGAAGCGTTAATGGCTTACGAGCTGGTCTGGCACGGCCCCGTGACTATCGAGGCAACGGACTCGTGGGCCCCAGGAGAAGCATACGGAGATTGCAGACGGGTCTACAAAAACTACAAAGCAGCGGCAACCATCTGACGAGTCCGCGAGAGGGAGAGCGGCCGGTGTCCTGCCAGGAGCTGCAGCTTTCTTCCTCTGAGCCCAAAGTCCTCTGGGGAATGCCGCTCCTCCTTTCCCCTCCGACAACCAAAATGCCTCAAAAAAGCAGTGCACAGAACCAGAACATCAACTCTCCAACTCCCACCGCTTTACGTGATGTTCTGATGTGGAATACCAACAACAAAAATTACAACACCACAACAAAAATTACAACACCACAACAAAAATTACAACACCACAACAAAAATTAAAACCAAAAATTTACCCCCAAAAAGCTGTCTAGTGTCTACTCTCTAAACCGGGAGCTGAATACTCCAGGTACACCGTTAGAGCTCTGGGGATGAAGAAGGATCAAGGGTATATCCCCTGCAAAGGAGCAGGGCAGATATCTTTACACAAGCACGGCGCTTCCAGGAGGACTGGTCAGAGAAGATCCAACCAAAGGCTTACAGGCAACACAGGCTCTTGGCATATGTATGTAGCTTCATTGCCAGAGCAGGCTGATTTTGCACAACTATGGCTACGCTACACCCAGCCTGTCCTAGCTCATACTGAGCCCCCTTGGTAGCCTCCACACGCAGCTCATTGGTGGTGTTCACACCCAGCATGACTGCAGTGACTGCAAGGGGTCCTCTGCTGAGCTACAGCCCAGTTCAGCTGCATCTCAGCACTTGTCTGAGCACGCATCCGTAGGTAAAAGACATGCAATCAGACACCCCTGATGCAAGAGGACAGAGAAACTGCACTCACTCACTTCATTTCAGTATCTCCCTGCCTTCTGTCACCAGCTGCTCTTTAACCACAGGCCCTCTGCAACCTCTCTTGACGTCGGATGCCAAGATCTGATGTCAGCAGTGCCAACCAGAGCCTGAAATATTCCAGCTGCCCACTGCCCACCTCTTCTTACTTCCAAACCTAGCAATTTGTGCTGGGTGCATGCACACACAAATGCTGGCATTACAGCTCTGCTCTCAGCAAAACTAATGAAAGTTAACTTGAATTACATCAGCGGAGGCCGAGCTCAGTTTTTTATCAGAGAAAAATTGAAGGAGCTAACACAAAGGAGATGCAATGAACTTGCTCATGTACCTACTTCTGGCAGTAATACTAAGGTACTGCCCATACAGTACCACTTGCAGCCAGACAATCCTCATCTCCAGGGTTCCCAACACTTAACATGGCATTACAGCCTTCATTAGCAGCAATGAGATTTCATTCACACCCCCTTCAAGTCCCGTTTGACGCACTATCAAGCCAACATGCCAGCTCCTGTAGCCATTAATTCAGTTAAAACTCTTTGCAATGAATGCCTGATAAGAGGTTTAGTACTTTAACCCTGCTGAGAGGAAGTACGAGCCAGTAGAGCCAAGGCATTATTGTTATTTTAAACAAAGCTGATAGTTTTTACATTTGCTTTTTCCAGTCCATTCAGGGCTGCAGATTTACTGCGAATGGTCCTCAATACCCCTCACCATACAGCAGTCGATTGCCCATTCTGTTGGTTTTTATAAATGGAGCTGGAAACAAATAGGTTCTGTGACACTGAAGGTGACTGTCTCTATGGCTTTCTTCCAAGAAGGGCCTCACAGACTTCCCCCTATTCCCTTCAATCAGAATGATCCAGATCCTTTGTTAAACTGTTTGAGTTTTTCCTGGAGAGGAGTGCTGGGCACACCACCAAACCGCTCTTAGGAAAAGTTATACCAGCTGTAACCTCCTGCAAAAGGACTGGAAATTGTCAACCCTCAAAGCTGTTTGCTGAGTGGGTATCTCCCCACAGACTTGTATTCTATTCCTATAGGTATTTCTTTTCCAGAATAAAATAATTTTATAGGTTTATCATTTTCATTTGAAGGAAGATTACTGCTTTAGATTTGTTTGTGTAATTCCAATGATACAAATAATATAAGCACTGAGAAGTTCTCAGCAACTACTTCCTCTTTTTCTTCAAACAATGAGTAAAGATCGGAAGTTTGTACTCTCCAGCTTCCTAGGGCTAGGGCTTCTACGAGCAAACACATCAGAATGGAGCGGCTGTAATGGATCAGCTCTTTAAGACTCACGTTTTATTTCTTTTTTAGTTCTTGATAGATACATTACTTCTTCAGTGTATTAGTATTTTCATATACAGAAAAAGGATGGCTACGAAAAATAAGAGTATAAAAAATCAGAGGCTAAATCAAATTCTGTGTCTCTGCGTATTTCTGCTTTTTTCTCCTGCATTTTTCCTACCTTTTTTTCCCCATTTGATTCTCGGGATACTAAGGCAGCTTTTAGTATAGAGTTGTAAAATACAGAGCAAGTAATTTCCAACTGAGATGAGTTAATAACAGTGATGAAACAACAACCTGCATATTTCTCAGCCAAGGATCTCAAAGCACTCAGATGAACAGATAAATTATCCCAGACCTTTATGAAACAAATTACAGCTAGGAAAATTAAAGTACAGAAAGCTGGTACAACTGAAACATAGCACTACTGAAACTTAGAAAGTCCAGATTCCTGTCAACATTTGTATCAAGACTATACTGAATATAAGTTTGAGAGATGTAGACAGAAGTAAAGACAACTATTTAACCAAAAATTCACAAGAACTTCCATCTTCTGGGAAGCTTCTCTTCCGATTCCTGCATTACCACCTGCTTGTTTTTCTTTTCACATTATACACTTGGAAAATACATTGAGATGTTTCACACCAGTTGTCCCATGCAATAGATGTCTTTGAAAGGCAGGGGATGCCTCTAAAATACTCCCTTGTAATTCATATGTTCTAGGCATTGTCTGCCTCAAAGTTATAGCTTTCTGCTCTTTACGATGTGGAAATAATTTGAATGAGTTGAAAAACAACAGACTCTTTGGAATTCCATATATTTTTGAAAACTATTACCAGGGAAAATTATTATAGGCATTAAAGGAAGAAGACATAGAGGTGAAAAGGAAGAAGACATAGAGGTGACCTCTTTCATAGAAGTTTCTGAAACTTTTTGTTTCTAACTGTGAACTCCAAAATCTTTTCTCTAAGACCTCTCTCATATCTGCCTGTTGTAAAGAATGTTGGTCTGATTCTCCTCTCTTCCTGCTGAAGATGGATGACTACAGCAGTGACTACCAGATTCACAGGAACTGGGAATACACACCTAGGTTTGTAAAGCATCTACAAAGGAAATTTGGTTTCTGGTGTCACGTCCAGATCTTATATAACTAAGAAGTCCCTATATTAAATGTTTAAAGCATCTAGGTAAAGAAAATTAAGTTTAGCATTCACATGCAAAGCTGAATACCATGACCACTTGCTACAGAGGACTACAAGAGTCTTGGGAACTTCAGCAGAGATACTGGAAAGTAATTGCTTGTAGCTTAGCAGGCAGCATTTTGGGTGAGGTAATCTAATGTACAGCAGATGGATGATCTTATGCTTAGGGTTTTGAACTCACATTTGAATGAGTGCTCTTGGTACTATAAAAGGCAGACACCACCATGGTTAAGAGCATCTTTTGTAAGAAGCAGCCCTAATGGATCCAGTCATTCAGGAGACACATCCATTCATACAATCCTACTCCAAGGCAGCTGAATTCTGCCCCTGTATATCTGCAACTACACATGAGCAGAGCTGCCCAGGCTAAAAGTTCATGATTTTACTGGTTACCAAGGACTAGACTTGAAAAACAAGGTGTTCCTCATTAGATCAAGATAAATCTTGGCTAAAGTATATATAGCTAGGATGAGATATAACAGTCAAAGCCAGATATAAAAGTTAGGTGAGACTAGATCCCAGTAATAATGTTGCACTTAAGAGCCTTAACTGTGATATTAAATGGACAAGTTCTCTGTTGAATTAAGTGCTCAGAACAGAAAGCAAGCTGTGTCCTGTGCTGATTTGAAACACTGGAATTAATGAGTCCAGAGTGGCTGAGATTTAGTCTTACCATAAATGTTCTTTGTGGTGACTGTAAATTTTAATAAAATCATAGTTATTGCTGAGAAATCATCTTTAGTAATGGAATCACAGACAATGCAAAAATATTGACATAAAATACAGGCAAATACAATTAGCATTTGCAAAAGCAGATAAAAAACAGGAAAATGAGATGCAGTCGTAGTAACATGACTGCACATGTGGGAACAGCATTCAGGATCCTGTATTTTTAAAATTAATAAAAAAGAGGTCCGAGCAGTGTTTGCAGTTCACCAAAAGCAAGGTAAAGCAAGCGAAAATTCCGCCAGATTAGCGTAAAAATTCTCTCTTCTGTAACAGCCCATGTAATGGTGAGATAAAATAGATACATTTCTCCATTTTCAAATGTCGCAAAAAAGAGCTGAAGTTCATCTTAGAATCATATGAGTTGGAAGGGACCCTTACAGATCATCTGGTCCAACTCCCCTGTCATGAACACAGACGCCTACATCTCCATCAGGTGCTCAGTGCCCGGTCCAGCCCGACCTTGAGTGTCCCCAGGGATGGGGCAACCTCTTCCAAATCCTCACCACTGTTATAATAAAAAGTTTCTTCCTTATATCCAATCTAAATGTCTCCTCTCTTAGTTTGAAACCATTACCCCTTGTCCTACCACAACAGACCCTGATAACAAAACTGTCCCCTTTCATCTTATAGCTCCCCTTTGTAACAGGCCTGTCCCAATGAACACATGGCATGGAGCAATAGTGGGAGAAGTAGTTTGGTTAACA